AAGCAAAACGAAAAATAATGTTGGTCACATTATAACTATTGTGAAATTGTTTGTTTAGCTCTTAAATATTTTCATAATTTATGACAAGAATTTGAAACACCTACAAAAAGAAAAATTTTTTACATTAAAGAAAAGAAGATTCGAAAAATTTCAAATTTTAGTGTAGTTCTACAGCAAAAAGAAACTGTCGAAGGACCTCACGTGAATTTTAGAACAACAACGGAGAGTTAACCGAAAATGACACTCTCAGTCTTAAAAAATTTTTGTTTTACTAATCCGATCTTCATCACTCGACTGTGAATCGATGATAAAAGAAGAGATAGATTCGTCAAATGTTTTTTTTTCAGAATCATTGTGAAATACAATTCAGATAACTAAGCCTAAAGTACTTTATCTAACCCATCGTCCTACGTTCTGGAGTTAACAAAATCAAATAATTTCATTTTGCATCCAAGTTAATATTAGAAAAAAAAAGAGACGAAATAAATCGTAACATGTTTATTTTGAGAAAAATTTTTATTTAATCCGAAAATAGGATTTAAAGCAGCATTCTCTACTCATATGTAATTGAATATAATGAACTTTGGATAATTATCTCTTAATTATTAGAATATAGGTTAAATTTTAGTTAATAATTTAACAATCAAATATGGTCTCATGTCGAATGTGTATGCAAAGTGTTGTATTAAATTTAATTATATTAATTTGGTCATTAATGCTTGATGGATATTTTATTAATGAAAATCGTGGTATTAAAAGTGGTCTTGTTTATTGTGAATTAGAAGGATGGATATTACCAACGTAAGATAAATTTATTCTTTCAATTATTATGCTAGATAATTATTATTTTTCTTTGTAGATATTCATTTTTTACATCAATTGGTATAATTATTGCTTGTATACAATTAATTCTTTTAATTGTTTGTTGTGGTTGTTTAAAAGCTGAAGAATGTCTTCGTGTTCGTTCATATACAATTGATTTATTATGGGCTATTGCAAAAGAAATTCCACAAATAATAATTATTTTTTATATAAATTTATGTCGTGATGGTTGGTTTAAAATGTCATCATTATTTAAAGCAATCTTTTCTATATGTGTTACAATTTGGAAATTAAATAATCTCTATACATTTTTACGTAATGATGTTAAATCAAATGATATACCAGAATGGTGTCGAGCTAAACGTTTATATATGTGTTTTCCAATTTTTTTAATACCAGTATGGATACTTAATTTAGGTTTATCAATAATGATTGCTATTTTATTTGTTCATCGACATCGTTATGAAACTTATATAGAAATACCTGGTTCTATACGTAATTTATATGTATCAGATAAATATTTATATACAAAATATATTGTTCGTTCAGGCATATATCTACCATGGCCAGATATAGAATATAAAAATTCCTATATGAAATTAGCTGAAATTGATTATATTATGGCAAATAAAAAGACAACGGTTCATTTAGTATTTAAATTACCATATGTTTGTTTTGAAAGATCATTATTAGATCGAACACCAAATCAATGTTTTAAACTTGATAATGACAAAAAAGTTTTATCGACTGTATCCATAAATGAGTTTAATCAATTTAATGGAAATAATACACAACAAAACGCAACATTTACATTTCGATATAGACCACAATCAAATAAATATAATTTAGGACAGATAAATTATCATGGACATATTACATTAGGTCCATTATATTTAAATAAACTTTTATATTTTCGTTTACATCATGCTAATGCTCAAGATAATGATGATGATTTTGTTTATCGATTATCAACAAATACTTATCAATTTTATACGGTTGATCATCAACTTATACCAATTGAAAAGGCTTGGCAATATGGTCTTGGAAAATGTCGACCTTGCAAATTAGGACCACAGTTGTCTACTAATTAATTTTTCTCTATTGTTATCTGATATATTGATATCTTTTTCTTTTTTGTTTTATTTCAGTAGTGTATTATCCGGAGACAGAAATTTTATTTACAAGCATTTAGATTGAGATACATATATATATATATATTCAATTTTTGTGTATCAGATGAATATATATAAGATAATATTACTTTGAACCCGCCTTAGTCAAAATTAATATTTTAATTGTTAATATGACAGATAAATAAAAAGAAATGTTTAATCATTACAAAAAAAAAAATTAATTATTTAGAAATTATCTATTCGATTGTTGGGCTATATTTGATTTATGATAATGATTTGAGAAAAAAAAAAAGAATGTTCATCCTAAATTAGACAAAATCAAGAACACAGTATAATTACATTGTCATTGAATATTCAAGTCGTGATTATAAATAACATAGGATTCGTTGACATGTATAGAAATGTGGCATTGTACTTGAATGATTCTAGAACATATACTATATTCGAATATCGTTGCAGTTCTAATAACCTCTTACCAAGGTTTCTATGGATCAATGAATCTATCTGTATATGTATGTACTGTCATTTATCAGAAAGATCTTGACATTGGATATATAATCAACAAAAAACATAAAAGGAAAATTTGTTTCTATTCCACTAGGACATATATTAAGCTTGGTATATTTTAAGAAACCTCATTTGAATAATATTATAAATATCTATGCTTATATGATAATATTTCTCTATAGGAAAGCGAACTGCATTGAAAATATTTTCAATTCCTCAGAGATATAGTTCAAAATAAAAAATAATTCTATAGACAATGCAAAAAATCATGAATATCTTATCGATATAAGATGAAAAAAAAACATACTGATTATCCAACGTAAAATGATTGATTTCCAAAATCAATATTAGTTGGACCATCTGTTTTATTGTCAGAATTACTTTCTTGTTCTCACTATTAATCTTTCTTTTTTTTTTCCTCTTGACATATTGAATAACCTAAAAAGCAGATAATTGACAAATAGAATTCTATACATAACTGCTATTAAAAATTCATTATTCTCTATGGAAATTAATTAGAAATGCACAAAAAGAAAATTCAGTTGGATCATTTTATTTATAAACAATTAATTTTCTAAGTATCATCTGTTGTAACCTTCATCATTACAAAGACAGCACAGTTGTTATGTAGAGTGTTCTCACTCCTCTATCACATTGTTATTCTATCTCTTATATAACTATCATCGAATAGGTTTAATATACATTACAGAATAACCTATAAATAGCTATACCAAAACAAATCAGAATAGATTTCCTTTAATAGAATGAAATGGATTGGTTATTTTGGTTGATCATAAGAGACCTATTCAAACTTTGTTTTCATATAAATAAGATAAACAATTTACTAAGTTCTAGTATCATTATTAAATTTACTTTACTAGCAAGGAAAAAAAACCAAATAGAATAAATTCAATTATGGAAATCATATTGATGTACTGTGAGCAAACTTTTGGAACTAATCAAATTAAAAGTCAACAGTTATAATATGTCAAGTAGTGTGCGATAGAATTTTTTTAAAGAAGTTAGTAGATCAGTATTTGAACTATGTGACATAAATGAAACCATTTACAATAACTTTAGTTGTATAAGTTTATTCAACGTCTAATAATTGAATTTATATCAAGTTTTTTTTTTTTTATTATTATTGTCATAGATGAAGATTGAAAACTATCAATAGGCCATTCTCTGTACATATTTTTCTTACTTGTCACTGATTACATTTGTTTAGTAAACTCAATAGTGGTACTTCAATGTAATAATTGTTTATCTTATTCGTATAGCAACAAACTTTGAATAGGTCTCTTATCATTAACAAAATAATCAATTCGTCTCCTTGAATTGAAGGAAATCAACTTCGATTTGTTCTCATATAATTGCTTACAGACTATCGTCTATGATAAAAAAGAAATGAAAAAAACTTAATTAATCAAAATAATTATAAGACATTGGTGAAAAAGTCTTTGCCAAAAAAAATATACATATATATATATATACAACTTTTTAGATGCATGTCAATGTAATAGTTGTTAAATTCAAACTTATAAACTAGTTTTTCGAGATATATTGTGTCCTTTTATTACATTTTTTTTAAAATCGACGTTCGCTCAACAAAACTAATTAAATGAAATGTATGATGATAATGATCAAGTGATAGTATGCACACGTATCAAGATTTTTTTTTTTCGGGCGTAAATGATGCATATCACGATGTTCGTTATGCGAGTTCATTTATATAAATCATCAAGATTTTTCTCCTTATTTATTTTACATGGTTGATTATTATTGGCAATCATGGTACAGAAAAAAAATGAGAAGATAAACGATTTATTACTTAAAATAAGCACGTTGCTACACAACACATTTTTTTTTTACTAATAATAGACCTTGTTTGTATAATGAATATGATCATTTACTGAAGGGTAGATAGATATGTAGATAGATCGATCGGTGACTCTTCTTAAACGGCAGGTGGGAAGAAGAAAAGCAGTAGATGTAGAGCCCAAAAAAGAAACGTCCTTGTTTTTTTTTTGAGTAGCAAAGACAAGAGTCGATCTACTTATTTTCTGTGGCTACATTCGTCTCACAAGAGAGAGAGGAAGTAGTAAGCATCACAGGCATTATTAATCATAATTTCATTGCTTTTTTCTCTCGTTTTGGCTTGCTTATTTGCATCTTTTTTTTTTCCTGAATTACGTCCGCGAAGTAATTGTGTATGTTAGTTATATGTGGTCAAATTTATAGTTTGTGTTTGTACGTGCGAAGAGAAGAGATGAGGAAAGAGAGAAAATGAAGGATGCATAACGACAGAGATATGATATTAGATTAAAGCGAGCGCCCATCTTTTTTTTCTTTTTTTTTTCTCTGTTTCTCTTTTTTTTCTATCGTTTATGCGGCCAAGAATACAAGCAAAGACGTCGATGACAGTCTCATGCTAATCGATCGTTGACTAACGTATTGCTACTACCACTCCTTTAACCACACGAGAAATAATAATAATAATAACAAAGCCACTGTTGAAGAAGCAAGCAAACAAAATCAATGGCAAAGAAAACTAAAGATGCAACAGCTTCTACGGCTAAAAAAGAAGCTAAAGCTAAAGCTCCTGCAGATCCTATTGCAACAAAAAATCTTATACGTTTATTAAATATTCTTGCATTATTATTAGCAATAACAGCATTTATTCTTCAACTTTTTGCTGTTATAACTCATCATTGGAAATGGCAAACAACAAATCTTCATTCAATATATACACCAGCGGATCGTGCTGCTCAATATAATGTCTATGATGATAGTCGACTTGAACAACGTTATGGTTTATTTTCACGTGATGTTAAAATTTATGCTAATAATGATGAACAACTTAGTGTTCTTGCAAGTACACGTTTTCCAAGATTAGATGATGGTGGTATCGATTTACCTAGATGTTTATCACAAACATCTCTTCGAGGTTCATTACTTACATGTGCTGATCGTATTGTCTCACAAGAACACTGTCATTGTCGACGTTATCCACATTGGAATGCAATAATTTTTTTTGAAATTACTGCATTAATATTACTTGGTCTTGTTGTTTTGGTTTGTGCTTTACTTTCAACACATCTTCATGGTTTACTTAAATTAATTGGTGTTGCTTTATCATTTCTTGCTTTTCTATTTTTATTAATTGGTCTAATTCTACTTCTTAGTTATCTTAAACGTGAAACACGTACAATTGTTGATACATATCCTTATGTTTATTCACGACTTGCTAGTCCAATTACTCGAGTTCATCATGCAACACAACATAAAATTCTTCGCCGTCAAGCACATGAAACTTATCGAGCATATTCTTTATCACCTGGTCAACGTCCATATAATGAAACACATTTTTATCAATATTATCGAAACACAAATGAATGGCTTCTAAGACCTTATACAGATTTGCAAAATGTTCCTTATGAACAACGTTCACAACCTGCTCCTGCTCCACGTACAACAGCTGCACCAGTTTATTATAATCCATATAATCCAACACTAAATGTTGATCAAGTTTTTGAAAATACGCGTGCTTGTATTGGTTGGTCAACTGTATTATCAATCCTTGCTATGATTCTTGCATTACTTGTACCATTGATTCTTGTTTTTTCATGGCTTACAGCTAAAAAATTAGGACCAGAAGTAAAAGTCGTAACAACAACTGTTAAAACTGAATATACAGCAGTACCACAAGAAGTTACTGTTGAAACAGTACCTTTAACAAGACCAGTTGTTACTGAAGAAATTCGACGTGGACCTTATGATAACTATGGTGGACGACCAGAACAAGTTGTTATACAGGATGTTGTTATTCGTGATGAACACCCAATAGCAACACAAACATATCGTACATAAAGAATTGAATTATTAATCATATTCTTACTCTCATTATTTTATATTGATTAGTTGCGTTTTCTTTCTTTTTTTTTTTGTCTTTTTCATCAATATTTTTTAGACTAACAACTACATTTACATACATTTATTTCGTTTATTTTAACCTCAGCTTTGGTTTTTTTTTATTTAACTTGTATTGTGTTTCGTTTTTTTTTTCGTTTTTTTTGCTTAAATAATTACTATAGTAAATTCTCGCTTTATTTTTTCTTTTCTATTAAATCTATATTTTATTTTACAAGCATTTGAATCGATTGGAACAGTTCGTCATATTCTTCATTGGCTATATATATGGAACGATCGGAACTAGTTGCTTGTGTAATAATAATTGTTGGTTTTTCATTAGTCATTGGTTTAGAATTACCATTCAAAGTTTCTAATTGTTCAATAGCAGATTCTAATGAAGAAAGATGTTCTTGAAAACCTTGTCCAAGCCATTCATTATCGAGTGTATCTATTAAAAAAAGGAGAAAAAAAAGTTTGTTTTGTTTTTTATGTATTGAATGTCGAATGAAGAATACCAAGATTGGGTAAATTGTTTTTTACATCTTTTTGATAAGATGAAGAATTACAAAGAGGATTTGTTAGATTGTTTTGTCGATCGTTCAGACATAATGATCGTAAATGTGTTAAATATAATAATGGAGCAAGAGATTTAAGTCTAAAGATAAAAAATTTGGATAAATGTGTAATTTCTTTTAGAACAGAGTAACTATAAGGAATACATTTGACAGAATTCTAAAATAGTTCAGAAGAATAGAAACGTCCACTACAAGGTTATTAGTTCATATATTCTATTTGATGAAAGATCTAGGAGTGATCCTGTTGACAAATTACTTTTTTCAACAATCAACAACAATATCGCTCAACAAGTACATATCGGAAGCCTTTTAAGTTACCCATAGAGATAAATTCATTGATATACATTCTTGTGTGTATAGTACCCATAAACAAAAGTTCTTGACTTTTACTAGGCAATATTCTTTTTTTGTTTCGCAAAATTGTTTGTATATTCTAACAGTAACTTATTGTTATCATTGTCGTTTTATCATCATTTTTATCATCTTCTATATAAAAGACAGACATGTGTCAATCATAGTACATTTATCATTCATAATCAAGGATATTTACAAAGCTATGTCGAGTTTTTTCTCACCCTGTAAGGTTATTTCCGGCAACATTAAGAATTTCTAAATTTTCACATGATTGTAAACCATCTAAAGAATTAATTTGATTTTGAGCTAATGAAAGTTTTTGTAATTGTGTAAGTGTACCAAAACCACGTACATTTGTAAGATTATTATTATTTAAATTTAAGATAATTAAATTACGACATATGCTTAGACTATTAGCATCAGTAAGATCTAATTATTCAAATAATATTTTGATCAATATTATAAAAGAAAAAAAAAAACAAAAATAAGCAGATTATTCTTTTTTTTTTTCAGTGATCTTACTTCGAGAATTTAAATCAAGAAATAAAATACTTTCAGCATCAAAATGACCTTGTTCATGTTTAACAATATCAATTAAAGATTCTATAATATAAAGGTAAGCATTCGATTTGAATTAGTCTCTTTTGATTTTCTGTTATTACTTGAATCAGACATCAATCTAAAATAAATAGCAATAAATTTATTTATTTGAATAAATAGATATAACAATAAAAATAAGGAATATTTATCTGACTTAGAAAAAACAAACAAATGATTAAAATATTTATAAAATTATACATGAACTATTTTTAAATGAAAATGGATATTGATAACAACAAACAGAACGATTAAATGGTTGTTGTGTACGGAATTGTAATTCATCTATATCATTATCATCATTGTCATTAGCAAGTAAAGCATGACTAATAGAATTAGTTGATTGAAATACTTTTAATTCTTCACGTAATTCTTCTTTTGTTAATTTTTGTACTGGCAAAACAAAATCATCTTCACTAGAAAAGATGAAAATATTGTTTGTATGAAATTAAATTTAAAAGCTATATTGAAGTATAGGGAATAAAGATTTACACCCTTCTCTCCCCCCTCCCCCTCCTCCGCCATAGCTCGTGACAGACATTGATATACAATGACAGACCTCATATCAAGAATGTCTCTTTATGACGTAGGAACTACTTCTTTATTGCGTTTCCGAAGATTTAATTAAAAGTATAATGAAGCCATATCGTCAAAATAGATAGAAAAGCTAAAATCTACTTCGTTATGATTATCGACAGCAGCAACATCGTGTTTTACATTTTAATCCCGCAGGGATGTATGCTAACAGCTTGCTTTTCTTTCTGCTATAAATGATCTATCTTATCTTACATTATAATTTTCATGTTCATAAGCAATCTAAATGATAATAATATAACTAATTATTTATATGTATGTATTGGAGATGTTTCTGCTCGAAGACTGTATTTTAATTGAATATATTCACAATTTATGTTTATGATTAATTACAAATCTTTGTACGTATTCTTTAAAAGACATTGGATTAAGGACATCATGTCCTGCTTTTGTGATAGAAAAATTGTCATTAAACGTTAAAAAAATAAAACCATTGAAAACTGTCATTGTTTCATGTTTTTCTTTCAGACACTTCAACCAAAGAAGCTGAAATTTTTTTGTATAATAACTTGAATCAAATCGAGTTGTATAGTTTTTGTTCTCTTCAAATAATGCTCTGGTAATTTTTAGAGGATCTTATAAAACTTGCTCTAGGCAAAAAACTACATTTTATGACAGGACTTTCATTATTTTAATGCTCCTAAGCGAAGAAAATAATATTTTTAAAGAAAAAAAAAAGAATTATGATTGATTGTGGGGTGAGGGATTCAGAAATTTTCAATCTATAGCCACTTATGCTCTACTGGTCAAGATCTGTCCACTTTAAAGGTTTCAGAATTTTTGATCGAGCTGTTCTTGAAAGATCATAGGAAAAAAATGGAAGAATATCCTTAATATGAGAAGTTTAGTATATTTCAAATATTAATCTGACGTGAGAAGTCTTCTAACTAATAAGTCGTTTCTGAGCCGAAACTGTGTGAATTATGTAGAACCAAGTGAACTATGAATACTAGGAAAAGAGTTCGTATTTTTGACTCATTGCTGCGGAGACACTACACTTACAATAGATTTTGAATAAATGCTGTGATTCCAGTCAGAAACACTAATAAAGTTAATTTCTGAATTATGACTTGAAACTTTCCATAGAAATAGGTCTGAACGAGAATAGTTTTTTGTAAATATTTCAGATCTTATCATTGTTCCTATCCTAAACTACAACAATGGTAATAACATGTCTTTGATATCATTCCAATATAACTCGGCAGATTTAAAGCTTTTATTTCAGAATAGAAATGAATTAAAATACTTACAACATTTCAGAGAATCTATTCTCGCTAAGCCCTGTTTGTATGGAAAGCTTCTAGTTGAAATTTGGAAATCAGTTTTTTTCTGGTGTTCCTGAGAGGAATTATGACATTCATTGAAGAAAATCTACGGAGACGAACTGTTTTTCAAGGTACTTATAGCTCATTCGTCTCAACTTAAAAACGATTTATCAATTGGGCGAATTTTCTCATGAGAAAGACTATTGCTTCTACATGTTTAATTTTACAAAAAGCTTTAATCATCGAATGTGTTTGATGGTTAAATGAAAGTATAGAATCAACAAACAAACAAACAATAAATTAAATTTACTCGTTTGAGATAGTTTGCTTAAATATTGAATAGGCTTATGTGCAATAATACATATTAATACAGCAAAAATTTATAAAAATCTTGTCCTTAGTTTCTTAACAAGGAAAAATGTACTGAATGGCATTAACAACAAGACTTAAAATGTTCTAGAATATTTCAAAGTCTTCTTCGAAATTTGAATGACTTGAATATGTTCGTGTTTGTTTTAAATAGTGTAGCTTTTGATTTTTATTTAGATAAAAATTTATATTCAAGATGTAAAGGATAATAACTAATGATTTATTAATTCATCACGATCGTCATATTATCAATATAAAAAGCGTGAACTAATCAAATAATAAACTTATTTACTAGTTAAATCAATGGTTAGAATAATAATAATTTTAAATTGAGGAAAACGGAATATGATAATGAAAAACAACGAGCGAATAGCAACAAGGCAATAAATAAATAGAACGACAGCAGAAGAAAATCTATTCAAAATACAGAAATAAGTAAGACAGACCGTTTTTGTTTTTGACGCTCCATTATCCTTGAAAAACAGTTATAGTCTTCTAGAGATGTTATTATCTCACGTCTCTTGTATTAGTATAATGTGGCTAAATAACACATATGAGTTCCACATTTTATCCCTGAAGGAGCTGCACTGATAAGCTTTTCTTAGGCTGTTACTATGTACGTTACCAAAGGATTATAAAACTGTTACATATAAAGAGAATTGAAATAAAATCGATATTAATCGTTCAAGATCAAAAAGTCCAACAAGCTAAACTTGTTAGTAATTTCTACAATATTTAAAAAGACTAACTCAGAATGTTCATTGTCACTAATTGTTACCAAAGGTAAATATGATGTATCATTATCAGTTGATTGAATTCGTGTATTAGGAATTCTTAAAAAACGAAAAACAAAAAATTAAATAAAATCAAAAATTAAATAAGAAATGCATACTTAAATCCAGATGAAATTTGAATTGTTTTAGAAGGCACAAGAGATTGTACTAGATGTGGTTTCTTTGATATTATTGGACGAATTTTAGCTAATGGATCTAATTAAAAAAAAAACAAAAATAAATATTACATATATTCATAAACAAAATTTGATCATACCGATTGTTTTAGAATTATTATGTTGACTTGGTTGAATTGTCACAACAGTTACTGCCTTGAAATAAAAAAAAAATTGTCAATTAAAATTTTTAAATAACAAATCCTTGATGTTTACACTATTATTGAAATTAGAAGTATCCATGGTTTTGCCTTGAGTAAGAAAAAAAAACCTTTATTTGTATCAATAATAAACAAGCACAGAACAGCAGCTGCTGAGTGAGTGAAGTATAGACATCGATTTTTATTGGTTTAATTTTTATACAATCATTTTATTTGAGTGATTGAATGATTTGTAGTGTATGTATGATAAAAATAATCAATAATATGCAAAACAGATTTTATTCCGTAATAATAGGTAAAATAACTAGATTTATTCATTTATGTATTCTACGACTATATCGTTGATGATCGATAGTTATAAATTATGCAAGCATAATTAAGTAATTTTGATAAAAAGATTCTTATCTTAATGTAATTCTAATTATACTATTTGTAAACATAAAAATTTGTTTTGATTATCAAAATAAATAATAAATTTATCTATTTTAAGAATAAATATATACATGTAAAAATATCTGAACCTATTTCATTTATCTGCAATGGCATTAAAAAGTTGAGATTTTAGAGTATTTTGGTTCTAGCATCATGATTTGACTGAGTAGATTTGAATATTTTTTTTAAAGAAAATCATCAACGCAATGGACTTCTTCAAGTTCTACAGATGAAAAAAAAATCTTCTATAAACTTTGTGTTTTTTGTGGTTGACTATTCATAGAATTATCTATTGAAAATATGATTCTTAAGCATTTTGTTTTTGCTAAAGGAGATTCAAATCATCATAGTTTTAGGTGTGGGTCAATAAACTTTTAGTTATAGTCAAACAGGACCAAAAAATTCAACTGATACGTAACCATTTGTTTACGTTTTGGATTTATTTAAATACAAATGAGATTTATTTCGTTCATTCTTTTTGTAGTTGCTTTTTAGTAATTAGTGTTAAAATATAATTTAAAAAAAAATATATTCAACACTTTTGAGTCAGAACTACGAAAGCATCAAACAATGACTTACATTGGTATTGATTGACGTGTCATATCAATGATATGTTTATGTATTAATGCTTATATTTATTTTTCGATGAATTAATTGTAGAACATAAAGCATTTACTACGAAAGTTTTGACCAATTAAGATGATCAATAAAAGCTGTAAAATATTAGTTTTAAATCAAAGTTTTGTTTTCTTCTTCGAATCTAGGATTCAAGGTTTTTATTAGACTCGTATTTTCGAAGATATGAGCAAATCTATGGAAGATCTAAAAATAAAGTTTGGGTGAGTTCAAGAGCGCAAAAACATATACTGAATAAAAGTAAAATTTATTTTAAATACCTTAAAAAGAATTTTGTTGTATTTTATTTGATGCTATGAAAGTTGAAGATAGTAAAAGAAATATTAGAATACATGAGCCTAGTCTTAGTCGATGGATTTTCATGTAAAAAAATATGTTTAGAAAACATAATAAAATTACTCAATGACATCAATTGATATAATAGAGTACATAATTTCAGCCAACTTCTTAACTATTAGATTCAAATCAATTCTAGACAGTTGAGCATTTTTTAGCACGAATCAAAAGACTATTTGGCACTACAGATGATCGTTGATCGGTTTTCCATTGAATATTGGTATTTGAAAGGAGATTACAAACATTCGGTTTACCACTGGGATTTTTTTCTATATATGCTGGGTTCTGTTTACATTGAAGCACCACTTGAAAATCGTACCAGTCATTATTGATCTGCATTCTATCAGTGGGACATACATGATCAAGAGAAGCATAATTTATTGAAGGCGATGTATAAATATGATGTTGATCTGATAGATTAAGAACAAACTTTTTACCCGATAGAAGATCATCACCAGGAAATGGTATGAACCGATTGTGAATGATATCGTCAAGTTTATCTTTTGATGTTCCATAGAATGTTGTATACCATTTTTTAAATATTTGATTATTGGAAACAAATGCTTTGTCTACTTGAATTCCAAACGATACCCAACCTATGGGCACTGTAAATTTAGGCTTGCCTACTGGATAGCCTTTCGGTTTTGAAGGTCCATAACATTTTGAGCAGTAACATCTATCATGACGTGTATTGAAATACTTTTTGTTCAAGTGTAATATTTTCAAATATTGAAAACAAATTTTTTTTGGACATTGAACAACTGCAAGAAACAACATTAAACAAGGAAATATTATATTAATTTGTAGTTCTATCATTTCTAGCATCAAATTTACTACTATCGTACAAAGACAGTTCACCACACTTAATAGCTCTAAATAATCTGATAGTGAAGAATTAAGTGTTGAGTATAATTTTACAAGTAATTTGGAAAATGTTCTAGTTCAAGAAAGTTCTCATTTACTAACATTATTTCTTAATTCTTTGCTTAATAAATTATCTATACGTAATTAATTACTGATTAAAGAGTTCCAGAAATAATATGTGAGGTGCTTACAATGTACAAGCTTTTTTTTAATCAAAAAATGCCATACGCTGTGAGTTATGTTTACAAGCAATTCAAATTGTTTGAAACGTTGGGCTTATACACCAATGCCTGATGATGAAGTCACAAAACACTTTGTTCGCCCACTTTGAAGCACAAAACAATGATTATCACTCATAATTTTCATATCGATTTTTCTTTGCTATGAGTGTTGAATCTAGTAACGACATTTTAGTTTAATAGTCTTAGGTGTTGAACTCTCATGTCAACGATCAAGTGAGTAAGTGCCTTTCTCTTACTGTTATGGGGCATAGAAGATCATCTTAATGATACGATTACAATAGAATTATGCATATGATGACACATTCTAACACCTTAAACAGAATCGCTCGTTTTTTATGGTATACTACATACATTTGATCGTTTTTGTTGTAAACTATTAAAGTGATTGTTAGGAAATTCATAGAGTTTCGATAGCTCATGACAATAATCAGTACGTTTTTGTCAAAACACGCTGTTTTACTTGTATTTAGCAGACTTCAATTATTCAAACTGCGTTTCACGCTAAAGTGAGCAGAACAATTGAAATCAACCTAAAAAATAGTTCGCTCATTGCTTTTACAGCAGTATTCATCAAAGTATTATTTCAACTAAAATTCTCTTATTTTCCGCTAGGCTTCACTCTAACATCACGTTCGTTTGACACCTTGCTTTTTCCTCAATTTGTTAAAAATTTTTCTGAAGCTCTTAATTTTTCATTCGATGTAAAAATCGCATCGGAATTAGAATTAGTTTTCAATTTTATCTCGCAAACAACAAGAATGTCAGAATTTTCTGATAGAAAAATTTTTCTAAAAGGTAAATTAATGATAGACTTCACTGAAAAAAAAAAGTACCAGACGAAACCAATGAAGATTTTGTGGAAAACTACGAAACCTTGAAAAAGTATCGCAGATCCCTGACAAGTTTTTTTGAAGGTATTTTAGGTTCGTAAGAAACCTTTCAAGGTTTCGACGTCGTCGTAATCTGGGTTTTTTATAGAGCAATTTTTTTAAATAGTTTGCCATATATACAGATAGAAGTATTGGTCGCGACTCTTCAGTGCAGGGAACACAGTTGATAGAAAAAAGAGGTCAGGAGCAATTATTTCAATGATTGCAGCTAATTACTTAATATTTTGTGTATATGTAGCTGGCACTTCACAGCGTTTATTTGTGGTTACTCAACCTTCCTTACTCTAAAGCCTTCTAGAAAATGTAGTTTTTGGATGTCGAAAACTGAAAACTAGCATAATAAAAAGTAGTTATTCTATTATAATGCTGTTTAGCAAAAATTAGACAATAATTTCTTTTTCATATGCTTGATACAGTTATTAACTATGTATTGAATAAATCTACCATAGACTAATTACTTTTCAAGAGCATGGAACCGATCATCATCAATAATTTGTTTCCAATCTTTGAATCCTTGCAGAAAAAAATAATGCAGATGTAAATTAGACATCATTTTATAGTTATTATTCGATATTCACCTTAATGTACGAATTACCTAAATTTAAAATCTTAACAATTTTAAGATATACTTTACTGTTTGGTTATAGTGGGAAACACATATGCGTATATGTCAAACTGTTTCAGTAGTTTATCACTTGGAAAAACCATTTTGATAGCAAATTATAGATAAATTAGTAAACGGGCGATGCATACAACTCATTAAAACTACAGTATTGCATATAAGGGGGACAAACTAAAACATCTTTATAATCTAAAATTTTTAGAAAACCGTATAGTTTTCGATGAAGACTGATTCCATAGTTGCATTTTTTTTATTATCACCGACTGTTTATGTTCTGATTGACCACCGATAGTCACAGACAACACTCTATCTCAATTAATAGTTTGAGCTAAGTAAATGCTTATATAGAAGACTCAGTTTCTTTCTTAATTTTTACTTAAACGTCAAAGAATATATTGAAACTGTACAGATGAAAAAGAAGAAAAATGCCTAAACTCGAGTCAACAAATATTCAAGGAAACTCATCAAATGCAAATGTTCAGGTTTGACGAACGTCTAGTTGTGACATGTAAATGAGCTCATGGATACTATGAAGTTTGTTGTAAAAAAACGAAATGCCACAATTATTTCGGATCAGTTCATAGTATTTCGTTATTTTTCAGCAATGTCTCTTCCGTTATGTTGTAGAAAACTTTTATAAATGTTATGCGAAGTTTGAAAGCATTCTGCAATATGTCCTGAAATGTATTAAAATGAGCTTCTGAATAGTTTCATATTTTCTGAAGTTCTGTTTAAAACCTAAATTTTTCGACAGAGGTCTTTCTTCTACTTTATCTTTTTATGCTGCTATACTTTGTATCAAATTTATTACTGAGTAAAGATATGACATGAGAGATTTATTAGTGTGATCTGTACACGAAAATGAAATAAAACTTTCATGTCATATCTCTACTCATTTATAAATTTGCTACAAAGTTTGACATCATGAAAAGATAAAGAGGGATGATATTTTTGTTCCGTAGTGTACATCTACAAGGGAACCCATTTTAAAATGAAATGGCTAATCTAAAACCTGAAGTTGGTGTACGTGAGCTGTTTATTTATTTATTCGAAACTTGATGAACTAAAACATATAAGGTCTACATGGCCTGTAATATATAGGGAAAACTGTTGAATTGATTATTTTTTTATTTATTTTCCTGGGTTGCTTTCTTTTGTTAATTTCATTTCATTTAATAGAAGAATAGATATATTGTTTTTTGTCATACAATAGGAACTAGACAATAGAGAAACTTGATTTATACTAAAGAAAAAATGTTTACGAAAATCAAGAGAGTTTTTAAGAACGGTGGACACTGCGCTCCTACGCGCGATTTCTTCGATGAGCCACTAATAGGGATTCAACACACATAGCGAAGAAGGACCAATATAATCCTTATGACTGATGATCATTTTGTCAGTATCATAAAATCTATCACACTCAATATACACCCATGGAAATCAGTTTCAAAAGACAACCGTTAAAGTACATACTGTGATTGGATACGTGGTTTGATTTTTTTCTCACGAATGAAATTCGATTAGGTACTATCTACTTCTTTTTTTGTGGCTAGATTTAATTAGTAGTAATATTTTAATTATAGCAGAGATAAATAAAAGTGATCCCATTACTTCAAAGATACTTTCAATCTGTAGATTTTTTTTCTATTCTTTTTTTCTAGGAATCTATTAGACATGGAAAATATAAATTGACTAGCGAGAACCCATGCATACTGCACGACTGTTTTCTTTAATGTATGACCTCAGACATTTAACTTTTCATCCGGTAAAATACATACAGACACTCGATATTATGTATATAGATAGGTTGCCCTACGACCTCATACTCTCATATCGCACATATTTTTATAGTCCATGCAGCCTTCGGCCTTATAGCCTTATCTCCCTATTGCCTTACTCCCTTCAGGGCCTATGTGTATCACAATATAATAGTCCTTGAGGACCTATGGGCACCCCCATAGGATAGCCCTTGAGGACCTATGGGTACCCACATAGGATAGTCCTTGGGAACCTACGGGTACCCCCATAGGATAGCCCTTGAGGACCTATGGGTACCCCCATATGATAGCCCTTGAGGACCTATAAGTACCCCATATAATAGTCCCTGGAGATCTTCCCCTTATAGCCTTATGTGACGTTTAACCTTTGACCTTTGACCCGGTACAGAGAAACAGACAGACACTGAACAGTATATATATAGATGTATGGAAGACGTACCGTCCGATGGTGAAGATGGAGCAACGACACTTTTGCGAGGACAGGAGCCCATCTAAAATTATGAAAAGAATAAAGCTTGATGGCTATAGAATGATCAAAAAAATAATGTTGATGCCCAATGACAAATTCTTTCATGGTCACTATCTATGAACTACTTTTATAAACTCGCATAACTATTCAAGCAATCAGTTCGAAGTTTTTTGATGAATATTGTGCTCTCAAAGGACTTCTGTGTTTTAGAAACAACTTGGAAAAAACCAATTCATCAATTGTATTCACGTTTATCAAATGAGTCATACTCAAGTATTGTTAACTGATGGTTTTGGATTTTGCTACTGAAGACTAAGCGGTAGAAAAAATAATCGCTATACACCGTAGTGAGTAGTCTGTAAGTGAAAATGGAGGAAAAAAAAGAAACGAAGAGAAACGTGACTTTTTAAAGCATTGTAAAGGTAAATACGTAAAGAAATATGAAGCGCACAAAGAAACAATCTACTTTTTCACAGCATACCTAATGTTAACTATCACAATAAAATAATGACGCGACGATGCGCTGCATGCAATGCGACTACACCTTCTTATGATGTTAATTGTTGTCAAAATTGTGGACATCAATTTCATAAACCTCATTTACCATTACTGTCACCAAATGATAAAATCGATTCTTTCGATGGGAAGTCATCAAAGCACAGACTAAAAGAACATGATAAACCATCTTTATCAAAACCCTCACTATCCAATGATGATCATAATGCAAAATCTTCGGGCCCTTGTCAATATAAAATTCTTTGTGGAGAATATCTTAAATCATTGAGTTGGAATGAAGCTTTATTCGACCGACGATTTAATCGTTGTTACTGTTCAAATTGTTATCTAAATTCATGGGATAATACTCTCGTAGAAGCTGGTTCACTTTACGTTATTCCACGTGGTTGGTGTCGCTTTGGCCTTCAAGTTGATAAGGTACGAGCTGACGTTGATCATATCTGGCGTGATTGGATCGTAACCTATCATGGAACATCATCAGAAGCAGCTCATTCAATTGTTGCTCATCGACAATTTCTAATACCTGGGGATAAACGCATAGATGGTGAAAAAATTGCGATACTTCCTGGACATATCAAAGAAAAATATCATATTTACACATCACCGACTATAGCCTATTCGGGTAATGCATGCTATTGTCCATTAACACGATTTCGATCAAAAATAACAAATAAACTTTACAATGCACGTATCGTAATTCAATGTCGACAAAAACCCGGGACTTTTGACGTTCAACAAGAAACAATTGGAGCCGGTAATAGAAGAATTTGTCCATTTATACCAAATAGTCAAGTGGAAATATTTACAACAGTTCGTGCATCTATTGTACCGTACGGTTTATTGATACATTTAGCTGAAGTTTCCTAAAATATTTAGGGTTATCCAAAAGTAGTGGGCCAGGTTCTTTTTTTTCTTATAAATAGCTAAAAAGAAATTTCTTTTTTTATGAATAGATAGAGCGTCTTTCGCTCTATCTTTCTATGCTATTTGATCAGTATCTAACTAAGATCATAGTAATAAAATTCCGACAAAAACATTTTTAGTGCAACTCTAGATGGTAGCAATAGTGCATAAAATCATCTACACGTGTTTTTTTTCGTTTTTTCTTGCTTCTTCTCTTGTTGTTTCTTTCATCATCGTCTTCTTATCTCTTTTAATAACTGACTGTGCATATATTTCACAATGGACAAAGAGTAATAATGATAGAACAAAACAAAATACAAGGATAAATTAATCAATTATTTATTTCATCAAATGTTCGAAATAATCACCTTGGTTATCTATACACAATTGCATTCTTTCAAACCATTTTTCAAATGTTTTTTTATATTCTTCATTACTCAAAGAATACATGAAATTGACCACAACATCATATAATGATTGTGAATCACTTTGATCGGTCAGATTTCGTTTGATTAAGTCGAATAACCAAAAGTCACATGGTGATAAATCTGGAGAATTAGGCGCATGTGGTATTATTGTGAGCCGTTCCGATTCAAGATAACTAGACACATCTTCGTGAACATGTGGTCTTGCATTATTGTAGTGAATTTTAATACCACGCGTCCCATATGAGGGTCTTTGACGTTTGATTTCATCGACAAGAGGCCGTAAACAATTGTTGATGTAATACTGGTGATCGATTGTTTGTCCCCGTTCCAAATGATGAATGAAAACAGGACCATTTGACTTAAAAAAGATGGATAATAAGGTCTTTGAAGCATACTTACTTTGTCGAACTACAGTAGGTGGAGGATCTCCTCTTCTCACCCACGCTGCATTTGACGACTTTCGACCAATTTGTTTATGATAAAACCACGATTCGTCACCAGTTATTATATCACATAATCGCCATGTTCCTTGTTGAAATTTTGCTAAGTTTTCTTTACATATTCGAACTCGTTCAGCCCGTTGAAAATCGGTAAGATCTTTGGGTATATAACGTGCGGTGACCTTTCTAAGGTTTAAATGATCGGTGATGATTCGATGAACCGTACCATAGCTTAAATCAGTTTGCTCTTGTAGCTCTTCTATTGTAAGATAAGGATCATCATTGATAAGAAGGCGGATCTCTCCAATATTTTCGGATGTTGTTTCAGTGATGGGTCTACCAGGTCGTGATTCATCTTCAATTTCTTCTCGACCTTCACGAAACAGCTTGGACCATCTTTTCACTGTTGTGAGAGAAGGAGCTTGATCACCATAAACAGAATACAGTTCATCATGAATAATTCTTGCTTGAATATTAAGGGCAGTACGCACTTTAATGTAGAAACGGAAGTTTTCTGTACTCATTTGAAACAGGAAAATAGGGCCAAAGTTAAAGTTGATTTTATTTTTCTGACATTCTTGAATATAAGCAAATACATGACACGTGCACACAAAAATAATACCGCGGACGCGTTAATGTATATGTACGTATGGATGGAGAGTTATTATAAGAGATAAGAAGACGATGATGAAAGAAACAACAAGAGAAGAAGCAAGAAAAAACGAAAAAAAACACGTGTAGATGATTTTATGTACTATTGCTACCATCTAGAGTTGCACTAAAAATGTTTTTGTCGGAATTTTATTACTATGATCTTAGTTAGATACTGATCAAATAGCATAGAAAGATAGAGCGAAAGACGCTCTATCTATTCATAAAAAAAGAAATTTCTTTTTAGCTATTTATAAGAAAAAAAAGAACCTGGCCCACTACTTTTGGATAACCCTAAATATTTACTTTTTGAACATTTTGAACAGATCAAGCTCATCGTTGACATCATAAAATCAAGTTTTACATTTTAGTCCAAATGCGTGAATTTTGATTTTCATTGTTGTCTGCAATGATCATAGAAGTCCTAAGCGTCGTTGATGTCTTGTGAGTTTTTCTATTATTTTGCTTTGTTTCTTTTTAAACTATGCATTATTTTAAATACATTATCAATGACTATGCATATTATCGTGTCTTTATGTTCTGCATAGGTGAGGATGCAGGTGTGGATGAAGAAAAAACCTACATACATGCTCATTCATCCACATGCACTCTCATACTACGTCCACACTCCATATTCTTCGATGATAAAAGAAATTTATTAATTTAGCTAGACTACAAGATTTGATATAGCGTCAACATGTAGTACTCTTTTACAGAAAGATACAGGTTGAAAGTGAGAAAAAGAAAACCAGATGTGTCTCCAATGTTCAGGTGAATGCTATTTTGTGTTTCGATGTTGAAATTCGATTTACTGAAATGAAGCTTTGAAAGAGATTGTACGTGCATTTTTGATGAGATGAAAAGTCATTTCGGGAGGAATATTACGTTCATTTTTATTCAGAAACTAACATATTACAAAGGAATTGTCTTTCCATGAAACGCTACAGCTAGATTAAATAAATACAGATGGTAATTGAAGTTGTACATGAGATGATCAGTCATTTTCTATGAAATAAAAGTACATGTCGCTGGAATACATTCAAGATAATTTTTCCATTCTTCGTCGAATCGCTTTGCATTTCCACAATTCCCACCATGGTGCATAGGGCCATCGATGATGTTCCCAATGATAATCAAAATGATAGCAACATAAGAAACTAGTTAGGCGACGCACATTCGATGAACGCGATTTTTCCCAAGGCATTGTGTCTACGATTTGATTATTGACAACTTCTGGTCTGTGTGGTAAATAAGTACCAAAGTAGAAAAGGCGAAATGAACTGCATAGGGCACATATTAACATGTATACGATGATATTGATAAATTGTACTGAACAGATGAACATTAAAAAATTGCCATATAGACCAACTTTAACAATTTGAAGAAGAGAAGTATATTCCCACATGAATTTGAAATACCAGAAAAAAAGTGATATTCGTTGACCATCGTGATAATCTGGATCACGTTCGACAATGCCTGTATGATTGTGATGACGCCAATGTTTTTGATACAAGCGTTGATAGTCGAACCAAGCGTAGGCCGTTATGCATAACTGACCAATAAAATTATTCAATTGGCGATGCTAAAAAAAAACAAGTTTTTTTAACGTTAGTCAAAATAAAATGATCAAAAAATCAATCATAATCAATCTCAAATCTTAATAATCCTTTATTATTATCACTTACTCGATAGCTAATCACTCCATGCATAGCATCATGACATGTGATAAACAATCCTGTATAGAGAAATTCTAAAATGAAAAATGTTCCCATAACATCCCACCAAGGAGATCGGTATTTCGCATCTATGAGATTGATTTGGAACAGAGCATGATACCAGAAAAGGACGAACAATGTGAAGATTGTCAGAGCCATGCAAACACCTTGTCGATCACTTCTCGGTTGAATATATTCGTTTGCTACCGATGATCGTTGATTATCCATCAGAATATCGGTTGGTCTAGTAGTAGCTAGTGAGTAATTCAGCAGGAAGCCAATATATTTTCAAGTAAAATTATTTTGCTTGAAACAACGAAAATAATGTGATTGCTTGAAAAATACTTTTTTCTACTTAAAGTCTGACTCAGATATCAAGGTAAACTTTGAAATAATACGTGTCTGCTTTTACTTAAATACAGTTGTTGTGCTGAAGAGACCAATCGCGTATGGCAGTGCGTGCAATCAGATGAAATTAAGTATGGTTCATACTGTGAATCAAAGGCAATATGTAGATTTCATGCAAAGAAAAGTATCGAACCATCGTTTATTATAATTGATCATTTTTCAATAGAACGATATTAAAGAAATCATATTATAATGCGACAATTTTAATTAATTATAGTCGATTATAACTCCTACATTATAGTAAGATTACTTTATTACGCACCTATAAGCAATTATAATCAATAATAATAATATTCGTTTATCCGTTAAAACTGCGTGCGATATATTCCAATAGCTTTAATTTTTGTGAGTCGTGTGCTGCATAATGGTCACGATGTGTTTATTAAGGCTGGAAAATCTTTTGAAATTAGACTTGATTCAAATTTTAAATAAAGTGTGGCTTTAAAAGTTTTCTTTTTTATAAGATCTTAAAATTACATTATGTTAACAAATAATTATGTGAAATGTAACCAATGTGAATGAAATAACTAGACTCTTCATGACTCTTGATCGTGTTACTGGAGTCGCAAATCACCAACTGGTGAATAACTGAAAAAGGATTATAGTTCGTCCATGTTCAATCTGTGCAGCAGCACAGCTATAGTTCATTTATACTCGATTGCTTTATGTAATAAACAATTCCCTTCACTTCAAGTCTATACGCTATCACTTATGATCCACATTCAGAAAACAAAATGGGCATGAAGATTATAAATATCGTATCAAGCATTTAGGTCGGTATCATTTGTATATGCCCAATATTTTATTTACACCATATTGTAATGACCTTGAAATCTTGATGTAGTGCTGAAATCAGTTGTATTTATCAACCATCTTTTCCAATAAATCTTCTAGGTACTAATTATAGTACAAGTAAGACCAATGTGCAGATTTCCATATGTAGTCACTCTAAGATTTCATTATAATGATAATACAAACAATCCGAATTTATTGATATCACCCTTATCGCGTACTACTTATATTCTTGTTGACCTATCTAGAAATGTATCTGACATACATAATGAAAGATAGAAATACATCACACCCGTCAAAATTCAAATTTTTTCATATAACACTTTTTTCCAACTCTGGTTATAAATATATCACTGATTTTGTACTCCAGCAACTTGATACCATTTACTCATATAAATTCAAAAGATGCTAGTGCAACGACAAACTGAAAGAGTAACTTACCGCCATCCTCTACCATGATAAGAACAATCGAGACAAAATTAAAAAAAAAGGAAACGGAAGGTCAACGGGAGGTGAAATCAGTATGAGCA